ACAATAGGGAGGGAGGGGGTGAGGTTGCCCAAATAGACAGCATTTGTGGAGTCGATTTAATAACCTGAAAGGTGAATATGGGCTTTGCTAAGGAACCAAATGTCATCATACAGGAAATGTTCATGCTTTTCAAGACGATAGAGGAATCATAAACACATTGCTATCCTCTGATAGTGATAGCTTCCAAATGGGAAAATGGTACTCGTCGTAGATGAAGATCTGCCTTGAGAAAGTGGACAGTTGAGACGTAGGAACGTTTTTGGTGCAGACATTATCTTCGGAAAGACGTCTCATTAGGGCTCATATGCTGAATTCTGCACCCTGGTGACGTTTAAAGGGGTGCGAACAGTATGTTTGACCTGAAATGGTCGTTTTGTCTGCGAATTTTTAGTTCCGATTCTCTACAGGCACTACCTGATGGACCATTTCCACCCTTGACATCAAAGAATAAGGCCTAAAGGGCACTTAAACATTATTTCCGTACCTTGAGCAAAACTTAAGAAATGAGTCAGTGGTGTGGAAATGTTCATCAATACAAAAAGCTCTCTGCTCTTCACTAACCTTAACCATGATCTCAGCAGGCAAAGGAAACTTGAGAAAAAACTATCTGCAAACTTCTGTTGGCCTGTTAGACTAGTGCATTATGCAATATGGCTCAAATGTTTGGATTTTTAGTGGAAGGCTTAATTAATGCGAACTAGTGCGTCATGCTAAAAAAATGGGGACGTAGCTGAAAATGGGTTGTTTTTTTAGCCCTGTGAACAGCAAAACTATTTGGTGGATTTTTCTAAAATGAATATCAGACAAATTCCTTTAGACTTCCAAATGTGTACAAATTTGAAGCGCAAAAATTCAGTGTGGAGGAAAATATTAACAAAAAAAGCTCTACAGTATTTTTTTAAACACCCTGTATTTGTACTTGGTCGCTGGCCTGCAGAAGTGCTGTGCAAAGTTTCGTGGACATAGGTAAATTAATGAATGATCTAGACTACCCCTGAGATCTAGCAGGGAACGCAGAGAAAAAAAATAAGACTAAAGCCTTGTGACCATGAAACTCCAGTCCAAAATTGACATTGGAACAGCAGGCAAAGAGGTTTAGAAATAGAAAATAGGTAAATTTGAAATTAATGTAACGTCCATTTTATCCAACAGCACTCATTGAGCTTCCAGCTCCATTCATTTATACAACAAGACAAGTAGGCCTAAGTCACACAGCTTTCATCATTTATTTATTACACAGCCCTAATTTTATCATGACAACAATAGTCAGTATCGAAAATGACAGAGAGCAGGAAAGTCTCTCTCTCTCTCTCTCTCTTTCTCTCTCTCTCTCTCTCTCTGTCTCTCTCCC